ATAACCTACCGATTATTTTCTTCCTCATGATCATAGGCAAATTTATCAGTTTAAAGCCCACTATCTATAATAAATATATATGATAATGCTGGGAATATATTACATTCTGATCAACTTTGAGATCATGATATTTTTTCCTAAGCTATAGATTTATTATGTCATTTCTATTTAATGAATTATTATAAACCTCTAATGTGTGTTTCAAATAAGATTCAATTTGTTCAGACTTCTCAAAAATAGATTCTAATAGGATAGGATTTTTAGAATGTTGCAAGAGTTTCTGACAAGCTCTTTTGATAAAACTTTCAGATAATCTATCAATAATGTATTTATAGTCAAAATAGAACATTTTATTAAATATAGTTTTACACAAAAAAGTTTGCATAAAAGAAATTCACCCCTAGTATAGGACATAGCATTAAACATATAGATAAATATGTAAAAATAATCAGCCACTAAGGCATTTTATTGATATAGGAAAAGTAAAATACAAATTTACTATATACACATAACTTATTCAAAATCTACATTCAAACTGTTTTTGTTTCTCTTGGACCTAATTGGAGGTGCGTTAAGTAGTAAAGATATATTTATTATTAGAATATTCTGTAAAATTAGTAAAATCCTTACAAAATTTATTACAATAGATAAATCTGATTATTGTATAGGGAGTTTTTGCTTCGTAAAGATAGTAATAACAATATATATTTCTTATATCTCTAATAAAAATATTTAAACATATTATTTATCCAGCTACTTGCATTTCAATAATTCTGAATTCATCTTTATCTAATCCAAATGATTTGTGAACCTAATACATCCTATCATTAGCTTTACGCTATAGTTTTATTTCATCATCTTTTTCTTTCTGCAATATACAAGATAAGCGTAAATTTTCAACATATATGAGCTCATATTTTTTTCCATTATATTTCATCACAAATATGATATCTGGTTGTCTTTCTGCTCGCTCTTCACTTTTTCTATTCACACTAGTTGAACTTTAACGTTCAGTATTAAAAAATAATAATATTAATATTAGTTTAGAAGTTTTTTAACTTGACGCTCGCAATACAATTATTTCTAATTATATTATTATTTACCTGCTGACATAAGATAACCTTCTTAAAGGAAGACTTTTTAATGTGACTCAAATAGCAGAAACTATTACGTTAGTCACATAAGTACCTTCATTTTGTAATTTTGTAAATTCAGAATTAAAGGTAGAATTATTTCAAAAATCATTTAGAGAATCCAAAATTCTTGATGTGACATCTGTAATCTCTTCATCTGATTCTTTCTATTCTCTATTATGTGAAAGTTTTTGTGATAAAATACTAATATTACTTTTTGTAAGTTAATTACAAATTCTTCACATTTTTCTCATATAATTCATAAAAGTGATAAAGAAACTATATCCTCTACTGATTTCTAAAAATAGTATAATGATAAATTAAAATGATATTTAGCGCTAGATAAAAAAACATGAGATTATATATAAAAAAAGAATTTTACCATAAAAGATTCCTTTAGCTATTCTAGTAATTTTTATATCAGATTTAAATCATTACTAATTACTTAGTTGACTAGAGGATCTTTTCAAGTTAAGTCAGAAATAGATACTTCATTTACATCTGAAAACAAATACTAATAAAGCTGTGACATATTTTTTCTGAGTTTACCCTTTAGTGCTTTAATATTTTTTTTGATTTATCTGAAGTAAGAGGCCTTTTTCGTTTATTTTTATCGTGCTGATATTATATAAATTACAGACTATTTAAAGCTAATTTTGAACTAATACAAATATATAATTAATTAGTCTAGATATATATGTTAAAAAAAAATATCAAAAGCTAGTGTTTTGCAAAATCGAATCAGATTAGATTTTTTCAAATCTGATCTGATCTGATTTTCATTTTTCAGGATTTGAATCTGATCTGAATCTGATAGATCTGTTAAAATCCAGATCCAATCTGAATCTAATGGATCAAATCTCAAATCTGAATCTGACAGATCAGTTTAAGTTCAAATCTGATCCGATCTGAATCTAAAAGTATTATTGAAAAAATGAATTTTCAATTCTAAAAGAAATTTAAAAATGGTTCTTTTCAATGAAAGGAACTTTTTTGACTCTAAAAGAGTTCTGAAAAAGTCATTCCTTTTCATTAAAAGGAACCTTTTCAGTTCTAAAAGAATTCTGAGAAGTCATTCCTTTTCATTGAAAGGAATTTGTTAGCTCTAAAAGAGTTCTAAAAAGTCATTCCTTTTTAATGAAAGAAACTTTTCAGCTCTAAAAGAGTTCTAAAAAGTCATTCCTTTTCAATAAAAGGAACTTTTCAGCTCTAAAAGAGTTTTGAAAATTCATTTCTTTTCAATAAAAGGAACTTTTCAGCTCTAAAAGAGTTCTGAAATTCGTTTCTTTTTAATAAAAAGAATTTTTCAGTTCTAAAAGAGATCTGAAAATTCATCCCTTTTCATTGAAAAGGAACTTTTCAGCTTTAAAAAAGTTGAATTCAGATCTGATGGATCAGATCTGAATCCAATCTGAATCTGATATATTAGATCTGAATCTAAATCTAAATCTGACAAATTAGATCTGATCTGAATCTAAATCTGAATTAGATCTGAATCTGATAGATCTGATCTGAATCTAATTCATTAGATTTGAATTAGATTCAGATTGATCTGAATTTATGCGAAATACTATCAAAAGTGCATACACTGTTAAATTAAAATAAAACCCTATTCTTATATGATTAGCTACTTTAACACTTAAATAAAGACTTTATGTGATACTAAAATAATCACATTAAATTAAGTATATAGCTATAGCCTAACTACCCTTTATACTGCTGAGGAAAAATTCTGTGAGCGGGCTAATAGGATATTTAGTCTATTATGCTTTCTTCCTCAGAATGGTATTACTGTTTACATTATTTATCATTCAAATAAATTCTAGTTACTAGTAATTTAAAGCTTGATATCTTACCTTTGATAGAATTTTGAGAAGAATAGCATGACGTAAGAAGTCTCATTCATATTAATTTTCACAAATATTACAGCCTACTTAATAATACTTTTTAGCTCATTTTGAGTTATCTAAATTTTTTTTTCAATTTCTTGGTAAATAACAGATCTAGCGGTAATATTCTCTTCCTTAGCATTTGATAAAAAATTATAAATTTTAGTATATATATTGGTAGATATAGCTAAAATAAAAGAATTTACGAGGTGTAAAAATACTTAACTCTGATATACTGCTCAGCCATTTTAAATCTCCATCTATACCTTTACCAACTTACACTCATGTTGGAGAGAGAAAAAGAAGAATATGTAAGGCAGTTTATGCTGAAAATTTATGTTCAAGAATAAGAACATATGGAATATGCATTAAAAATCTCAACTTTTAGAATGATGTTTTGTAACAATATATATACAAAATTTTTTTGCTCACCTGACTGCTTACTACTAAGATCTGATAATATTATATTAATATATTCTGTTCAGAATCAGTGATATCAGAGAGCCTATCCCTCTGGAGCAAAATATATATCAGTAAATGTCTGCTTTTTTAAAAAATATTTTCTTCAGAATGAAGAAACCAATTCACTACGCAGATTGATAAATCAAGAAACATCACACAAGCAATCACACAGAGTTACAGATAATTTGTAGTGTACACTTTAACAAGAATCAGAAACACATTTTATTTATATCACACACTGTTTTTCTACATACATTGTGACTGGACAGTATATTATTTTATTAAGAAAATATTTGAGATTTAGGCCAAGATTTGATCTGAAAAATTTGACGCTTTAATTTACTATTATTATACAAATCTGAGAAATTTATGGTAATATCCTTTTCATGAATATAGTATAGGAATTCTGATGGCAGTGAATTGCATATTCTTTATATTTCTACTGATTTACTCTTATATTTCACACAGTCTGAAATTTTAATGATATTCTCAAAGTTATATCTAATAAGATAAAATTTAGAATTCTGTAACTATTTTAATATGTTATACCAAGCTGTACCTCTAACATCTATGTAGCCTTACTGATATAATACTCTAAAAGTAGCTAAGTATGCTATAGTATATAATCGTTTATATAACTGATTTTTCTTCGCTTCTGTCTAAGTAGTAGCAAATTAAATGTTATACTGATTTTCTACATAAAATCAGTCAATCACATAATTAGATTCTATTAGTTTTTTATTAATGAAATGATATATTTTATCATGAAGAATAATACCTAAAAACTTTTTATTATCATAAGTATCATCATTTCTCACCACCTTCCAAATCTATTTTGCCAATGACTTAAGCTTCTTCTTGTAATTCCTGTAGACTCGCTGAATAACCATTGTATAGAAATTCTCAAACTGATAGTTATATTATCTTACAATCAAAAATCCCCAAAATCGCTTCATAGATCTTCTTCAAAAAATATTTTATTAAAATATATTAAAAGATCTAACCCAGAATAGACAAATCATGCATAGCGTCTTGGCCAATTTCACTAGGCGATCATGCATACAGAGCATTGCATGAGTAAAGTAAAAAATAAATTGATTGATTTATTGATAAATATATATGAATATGAAATATACTATTTTAATAAAGAATCTATGCTTTAGAAAATTTGACGCACATATTTACAATTATTATTTAAATCTGAGAATCTATATTAATAAACTTTCCCTCAGTAGTATAATATCCAGATTTAAAATAGTCAATTTTTAGCGAATCATATAGATATAGTTTACCTGCTAATTTGCATTCATATCGCGCATATTCTGAATTTTTAACATAGTTTACGTTCTTATTGTTAAGGTATTTATAATATTCAGGATTTGCTAGCCATTTTGATATATAAGGTCAAATACTATATGTAACGAGTTTATAACCTTTTAGATGTAATTCTATAAAAGCAACTATAATGTGCTATATTATTTAATCATTTCTGTAACTGATCTCTCTTTTTTTCTACTTAAATACTAAGATGATAATAATCATATTCCTTATACTCTGTAGCCTGTTTGACTAAATATTCTTTAATATATTTTTGAGTAATATTTTTATTATATGCTTTTTTAATACAATTGGCATAATCATCGGTATGTAAATCATATTCTTCTTGAGTTAGAGAATTTATTTTCCATTCACTAGTTGAAAGTATATCTAAATATTTCATTCTATTAGGAGTATCATCATTTCTCACTATATTTCAAACTCGTTTTGTCTAAGTTTCAGATTTTAACTTGAAAGTTCTTCAAGTCTGTTGGATTATTTTTGCACTATTAAATATATGATATGCAGTCTTTTTCTATAATTCATATTCATAGTCTGTATTACATCTATAACCCTAACTAGAAAAATCAGTATATTTATTACATATCTCATAAATTTCATCTTTACTTAGTTCTGATGCTATTCTTCTTCCTTTTTTCTGAATAGGATTAGAATATGCAAGACACTTTTTGGCTGTTTTAGCAATGCATTCATTTAGATGTTTATTTGCACATTTGATAGTATTTTCACAAATAAATACTAAGGAGTCGCATGCAGTGCAATAAATACAAAATGAGCATCTCTCAGCTTTAAATCCCCCATCTATATATACTCTTTCAATCATCTGGATAAATCCATTTTTGGAAAAGTATTTTGAGTTATGTTTAAGAAGTTTCTTAAATGGATAACGAACATGAGAACACTACATTTCTGGTGTTTCACTACTATACCTATATTGCAGATTGTTTAATGCCTGCACTACTACAGGATTTAAATTGGAATAGTTGTTAGATTTAGCCATTTTGTGGGTATAGTGAAATTATAGCTGTTTTAGTGATTTATAGCATTTTTAGTGATTTTTAGCAAGTATATTATAATAAATATCAGATTCATTTTTATTCGATTGTTCAAAGAACTTCGAGATGAAATAATTTTTCCCTGATGTCATGATTCGGTTAAATTAGATCCTATCACTGAATTATAAAATCTCTATTACATGAGATCTCCTCTAGTTCCTAGTCAGTTCCTGCAATCTCAAATTATAAGATGGTATGTACGGTACATATTAATCATGTGTTAAAAAACGCTAGGCCCGATGTGGGTAAAACTTTATTAATACAGTATGTGTGCTAAAAGAAATATTTATAAAAATTAAAAAAAAATAGTACCATAAAAATATAATATAAAACGAAAAAACTAGCAATTTAAATTTCTAAACGAAAAATTAATAGTTGTCGTAAAAAGTGAAACCTGTATTTGAAATTTTTGGTTTTTATTGTAAGTGATGTATCGAATTGGACCTTTATAATTATTTACACTGGCTTCTTCAATTTTAATAGTAAATTCGTCTCTCCAACCGCCAGCATTTACTTTATTTTTGATTGAAGCTCCAATAAAATCGGATGGTATTTGGCAAGTCCTAATTTGTTGCCTACAGCGATAACTGAACTTTCGATTAAAGAATCTTTACCGCAATAAGAGCAGAAATTACTGAAAGAGGGATATTCGTCTTTTTTACAGTTAGTGCAGTGCAAGGTTCCTAGAAATAAGAAAGTTAAGAAAGTTAGCAAAGAATTGAAAGAAAAAAATTACATAAACAAAGTTTACTACCTTTTATAACATTTGTAGAAGGAATAAGTGTCTCGTTTTTACATATTGCGCATTTTGAGGGATTCTTATCAAATCCATTTAAAAACCTTATAAACCAAGAACAGTCAGCGTAACTATTCTTATATTCTTTACAGTAAGTACAGTATTTCATATTTTATAAAAATATTTTTTAATTTCGCTTGTAATAAAACTTGAAAAAGGTCTTTATATAACAGCTTCAGAAATTTGAAGAACAGTCCCGGAATATTTGGTAGATCACCTAATCTGATAAAAAGTGTCCTGAATAAACAAATAGAATTTAAGCTCAGCCCAAATGTTACGTAATACTTAATTTTCACTTAGTTGTTCGATTTTTTACACGCATAATGATGCTATCATGCCATTTCTCTCTCTCAAATGAAAGTATAAATTGGGAATCATTTAGTTTACTATCATGAGAGTTAATAATCACCTGAATAACGTGTAGATTTATAATTTACATTTGCAAAACGCACACATTTTAAAAATCAATCAAAACATTCTTTATTGCAAAGTAATATATGAGAAAGGGCCGGCTGGCTAAGTAAAAAATGAAACTAATAAAAGATATTGGAGTAGCAGGTTGTTTCAAGGGAGAAATAAAGCATGAATGCCTGCCCATATAATGGCAGTTCCTTCCCCAGGATAATTGTTAAAATTTTCTAGTACTACGCAGGTCTATTATGCGTAATACTACAATCTCTGCCGCAGTAATACGAATATAAGTCATCACATAATACTTCGCATACATTCTATGATATATAATAAACTATACCATACTGGTTTCTATAATCTCCGTGTTAATCCAACTTCACCGAGAGTAAACTCACGAGCTTATCATAGGGTTTCATGTTTAGGTAGTTTATTTATTTTATTAATTGTGATATTAATTAGTGTTGAATTTTAAGTTTTCATAATAACGCAGACCAAAAAAAAATTAAAATTAATCACGATATCAAATTTTGAAAAAAAATTGGTTTCTGTCATGTCGGACTGTATCTTGAACGAGACAATTATCGAAAAACAAAAATAACATTTAACAAATCATGAAGTAGTGATGAGCAAAAATTATAAATACGATAGAGAGGCACCAAATTAACTAGTAAACTATTTTAACTAAATTACCCAACAAATTTATCGTTGATTTTCCGAAATTTTTGAAGTATTGATTAATTGTAAATCACGAGATTTTTGCATTTAATGAATCATCTGAAGTGACATTTTAATTATGCAATTTATTAATAAGTGAAATAAAATAAACGATAATTTACATTTCATCTTGTTAATATTCTTAAGTTAATAAAATTTATTTAATATAGCTAGTTTTTAAGATATGATTTGTTACTTGATTTGATAAAAATAAATATTGTTAAAATTAATTAATGATATTTAACCTAACGTCTTCGATATTAACGACCAACAAGAGCTAAGTTTTCCATCAGTGTAATAAGTGTTAAACAGGTTGGACACATATCATAATCACATTGTTCACATCTTAGATGCCTTCCTATGTAAGGCTTTTTATCTTCATCGCATATCCATGTCCCTGGTATATTTACGTATCTCATTGGATGATCTTCTAGACAACGACTTATAGGTTTGCATTGTCGACCAGGTTCGCAGTGACTAGGGCAAGCGTCAAAATTACAAGAGGAACAGTGAAATTCAGATGTCTATACCAATAATAAAAAGATATGAGCGAATGTGAGAGAGAAAGAAAAGGTTTTATGAAAAAAAAGAGAAAAATAGCTTACCTTGGACGACGGACCATCTTTTCCACACACGTCACAAAACCACAGATTTTCACGATATTCTCCATTTACCATTCTCAAATCATGTCCTGCAAAGCATTGCGGTCGTAACATATCATTCATGGATGAAGATACATCGACCAGCAGAGCGTAATCAATGGCAACATTGCTAAGTTGTCTGTGTTGTTGGACTTCAGCCCATGTAGCAGAAATATCACCGATAGCGAGATTGTTAAGTGAAAGGGAGAGGGACTTGGTAACCTTATAAGCGATATTCAAGAATGCAAGTTCGAGTAGAAGAAAATCATCAACAGGAATATAGTCGAAATAACCAGCTCTGGCCATCTAAAATGAAAGGTACGAAAGGATAATATTTGAGTGAGAGGTTTTATGTGAAGGAACATCCACAATTTAAGAAAAAGATGACAGCATTGAGTTGGTCATTTGATACTACAACTAACTAACTTTTTTTAAAAACATTTATTCACGGCCAAATGTCAACACTGTCAAAGGTAAATAAAGGCATACCTCTTGCATTTTACTCGCGTTCACACGGTCTCCAACTCCGACAACAAACATGAAGTTATTGTCTTCCTTTGTAAATTTGTCATATATTTCCCTACTACATTGCCTGGAACTCATCGAACTAAGATTGTCATCTCCATCTGTCACGACTATTAGTACCCAGGGACGAGAAGGGTAGGCATTTCGACGGAAGGTTCTATCTATGACTCCAGATATACTGTCATAGAGGCAAGTGTCACCGGATGCGACATTTCTTAATGAATTAAGGGACTGATGAAGTAAGTTTTCATCCGATGTGAAGCTCTTTAAAGAAGAAATACATAAATAAAAGGAGGTGATTGTCAATAAACAATGTAGAAATAGCAGCAACACCGTAAAAAACGCTTTACCTGTCTAATTGTTAAAAAGTCGCTAAATGTTGCAATGCACCCGCGATCTAATCCGTCCCGATGCAAATTTGTTACAAGTTCTTTGCTGGCCCTAATAGCACAATTACATTTAGTTTCCATTCTTTTTTAGTCAGTAAAAGTTGAAACCTCACTTTTATACAAACTAGGAAACGGGGACCGTTGGAACGTCCGAAGTGTTAATTGCAAAGTGAACGTAGCACAAATCAAACGTATCACAGAAAACAATAAGTGACACAAAAAACGATTGGACGATCACAAATTACACATGGTATTTTCACACACACCATTACACAAATTGGTCATGCGCGACGATCGACTGTATGCTAATTTTACGTTTATTATGTTATTTCCTTGTATAGTTTACTTAATAATTCTTGTGAGATCTAGGGTCCGGAAATACTATTTTTTGAACCAAAAACAATGATGGCGCAAAAAAAACATAGCGTATGCTGTAACGTATAACATTTATGTTTTGCAGTTTTTTTTAAAAACAAGTTAACGTTGTGTTTTAAACGGGGAGCTGAAGGAAAAATGATCGACCTGATATATTTCGACTTCGTCGCCGCAGCATTCATATGATTGATATATATATACACCCGCGCAAAGTTGGGTGAGACGATCCTGAATAGATAGTCCTTGGTTGGTTAGGTTTAACGTTAACACAAGATCAAGCTATTACATTTTAATACATGCGAGCAAAATTATACAGCATAAGTAATTTCATGGGGAGTTAGGAATAAGAATATCGGAGTTTTTTTCCCGTAGGGAAAAAAACCACGTTATTCCGATCCTCATGAAATTACTAAGTTATGGTGTGATTGGTGATAATTATTACCATAATTATTATCACTTGTTCAATCATTATTTATAGTTTTTAATGAATAAATAAAATAATTAACAATTTTATTGATATTTTCAAGGAAATGTTATTAACTGAATCTAATAATTCTATAAAAAGAACCAATTATCAATAATATATGAACGATTTGTTATTCCTACAGATAAAGATTTACAAAATATTTAGCTTACTCTTGTGTTGCTAATACAGATGATAGTACAAAAACTGAAATAAATCTTTTTAATGCTTATAAAAAAGCAGCCAATTTGACTGAATCTCTTAAATTATTAAATGATATTGTATTGTAATATCAGTTTTGTCAACTCTTTTGTGGTGTTAGAAATCTGGAAAAAAATAATATGCATCTTATTTATTGCATGTAGGTTTTGCTACAAATTCTAAAGAGATATTAGAATTTTTATCAAATTAGACTTATCATTCATGATAAGTATAAATGAAAACAGCTTCATAAAATTTTTGATGATCAAATTAAATAAATTCAAGATAATCAAAATACATATTGTAAGAAAACTTATATACTTGAAATGTAAAAAATTAAAACTATTCTTAATTTACTATATATGCAAACTAATATATTAAAAGGTCTTATATATAGTATCTGATTTTGGCTAATACTTCTTTACAATCTGTATAATAGTAATCCAAAAAGATTAAAAAATTTTTGGATTGTTCTTAATAAAGATTGAAATATTAAAGTTGGTTAATGTGATTTTATTGATACAAAAAATAAATAATATAATTCAATAATACATAAACTTATTTTACAAAAATAAAATGATATGTTTATATTAATATTTACAAGATACACTAGTGTTTTATTCACATAAACTATCAATAATAATACACTATCCTAATAATAACTTATAATTTAGTTTCATTTTTCTAATTATTAATATTCTAAGTAGAAAAAATTATTGGTAAACTTTAGTTATATTTATATAAAACATAAAGTATTAAAAATAAATAAATATTAACCTTATAATAATAATAATACTAGTTATAACAATTCAGTTTTAAATAGATCTAATCAGTTTTAAATAAATCTAGTTCTAAATTTTAAAGTAATGTAAAATTAATTGCAATATAAACTAAATACAATAAATTAGAAAATCTGATTTTTGATTTACCAAAATAATTAAAAGTTAATAAAAAATCTAAATTTAATTTTTCATATAAATTTTTTTTATATAATCATTCTTTCTTTTGACAATATACTTATTACCTACACTATATAGATTAGTGTTGGCAAATGACCTTGAAGTGACCTTAAAATGACCTAACCATATGATGATTTTACTATGAAATCTATCACGTGATCATATACAGAGTGACTTAGGTCACTTCAAAAAAAGAGAAATGACCTTGAAATTTGCCAACACTGATATAGATATAGGATAAAGTTCTAATCTCATCCAATCCTAAATCTCATTTCTTAAACTAAAACTTTAACAAATAATATTATCATAATTAATAATAATAATTTAATAATATTTTAGTTTATTAACTTCATCTTTATAAGCTGATTTAAATAATTATTATTTTATCTTTGTAAATGAGATATTGATTAAAATATACTTAAAAAATATATTATAAATTAAATAAGATTTAGGATTTAGAGTTAAGATTTGAAATATAAGATATGGGATATGGATTTTAAATATAGTATGGGATTTGGAATAGGATGGAATTCTATAATATGAGATATGAATAGCAATTATATTTAATACTCTTTTTTTTCATATTTTATTTTTTATTATAATGAACCTATCTATTTTTTCAGATATATTTTTTGATATAGAAACTATTACAGAACTTATAACAATTAATATTACAAGTATAAAAAATAATCCAAAAAACAAAGAGTAAAATTTTATTCAATCTTAATTAAAGCTAACTATAGTTATATAATATATTTTTCAGATTAAAAAAGGATATTCTAATATTATTTATTATAAAATTTATTTTACAAATTTTGCAAGAATAAATAAAACTATAACTGAAAAGAAAAATATTATTAACCTTATAATACATTTGCATAATAAGCATAATATTAATAAAGAAAATTATTTGGAATTTTTGGATAATGAAAGGTAATTTTTAATCTTTAATATGCTTTAATAATATGAAATGTTAATTTTTAAAGGATATTTTTACATAATTTAATTATATATTTAAAATTATAAAAATTTAAAATTGAATTAATTTAATTTAATTTTTTAAAATAATTCAATTTAGGTTAAATACTTAAATTAATCTAATTTATTAATTGTAATTGATTTAAATTATATTGAAAATATTTAAAACTGGTTTATAGAAATAGAACCAGTTCTAATCAGTATTGTCAAATTTTAAGATCATTTCTTTTTTTAAAAGTAATCTAGGTTACTTTGTATATGGGACCTTTGCAATAGAAAAGGGAGAAACGGCTGAAAAAAATAAGAAATGAGTTGATGCTAAATCTGAACATATTTTGACCTAAAAATCATATTTGGCATATAAAAGTAAAATTGATTTATTCCGACAGTTTCCACCCTTTCTATTGCAAAGGTCCCATATGATCACATGATAGATTTTATAGTAAAATTATAACATTATTAGGTCATTTTAAGGTCACTTCAAGATTATTTGCCAACATTAGTTCTAATTTCATTAGAATATAAACATCTGATTAGTTAATTTTAGTAATCATTTTGTGATTATTTGTGATAATTAACCAATAAAATTGCATATAAAAATTCATTAATTATTTTTGCATTAATAAGTGAATATTATGTAATGAATCTATAATAATTTTATTTAATAAACTCTAAAATTAATTAAAAAAAAAACAAATAAAATTTTGCATATAAAAAATTTTACATAAATAAATAAAAAAATTATTATATAAAAAAATTTAATAGTATAAGAAATAGAATTTTTTTAATGTTTCTTTTAATTTATAAGCTAAATATTTTACCAATCTATATTTATTATTATTATTACAAAGAAAACTATCATTATATTTTTAGATTATTTTTAAAAAATTTTTAATTTTTTCAAAAAATTTAATAAGGATCAAACTTGTTTATTAATACTTTTTTGTAAAAGTGTAAGGTAATATAAACATTATTAACATTGAAAATTTACCTTAGAAAATGATTTACAAAGTCATTAAATTTAATTTTATATAAATCATATTAAGAAAGATCTTGATCAACATATTGCATTAGAAAATCAGGTTGATTTATTTAATTTGAAGGATTTGCAAAATTCACTTGATTCACCTAATTTATTTTGATTGGTTTATTTTATTAAATTTTTTACATATTTATTATTTTCTTTATAATTATTATTTTTTTTGTTTTTTTTGTTTTTATTATCATTATATTTTATCTTCTATTTTATATCTTTATTTTATTATCTTTTATTATTATTTTATAAGCAAATTTTATTAAAATAGCTAGTTTATAGCATAGAAAATAGTTAGCTATAACAAATTTATTTTATATAAATAGAATAGCTTTTTACTTAAATTATAAATTAACTTTTCTGCAAGTTTATCAACTCAGTTATAAATTTTTAAACTCTTTTGCAAGTTTCAAGTTATAAATAAAGAAATCAATTTAAATTTATACAAATTTACTTTTCCCTTCATTGTTATCCTTTACTTAGAATTTATTGTGATACACTATATTAACTTGCTATTGAATTTATCATTACAAATTTGACTAACATATATTAAATTCTAAGATCTGATAAATTGCTAAGTTGATTCAAGTATAACAGATACCTATAAGACTTAGAGAAAAATCCTAAGATCAGAAACTTCAATGTGTAAAATCAACTGTCGCTACCTTTTAACTTAAACATTAAGATAAATGAAAATGAATTCATTGATAACATTTAAACCTGTTATTAATATAATAAGAATTGTAATATATATAAATATAAGCTAAAGTCATAATCACATCTGTATTAATAGATAAAAATGCAAAAAAATAATTAGATATATTACAATAATAAAAAAAATCAGATTTATATAAAGTATTAAACTTAAAGAAAGATGACACAAATATGATTTTAATATTTTTATCACAGTCAATAAAATATTATCATAATTAGCCTACACTAATCAAAATTAAAAAAATTGAACATGCGAAAAATTGGCTTAAAATTGACAAATTATCAAAAAATCAGCCTAGCTGATTAGTATATACTAGAAATCAGCCAAGAATCAACTAAAATTTAACTTATCTTATTT